ACTGTCTCTGAGACGCACTGTGCGTATGGAAAAGGGCCACAATGGATGATTGTGAATCCAGCGTTTGAATTCCCGAAACCAGGAACTTGCCCAACATGTCCTCCCACCATCAGCAGGCAGGGTCACAGGCTTTTCACAAACTTAGTGCACAGTCGTAGGGCAGGACGGAAAACCAGACCAGCTTAACCGAGGAAATCTAGACTGACAGGGTCACTGGGACTGGGGTTTCATTTTCCTGAGTAACAACAGGAGACCAGGCAAATGCATCGTGTGCCGACTCATCGTCACTGGCGCACCCCGGTACCTGCTGGGCCAGAACCACACACAGACACCTGCACACACATGCACGCACCACATGTGCATGCACACACAGTGCACACACGCACAAGCACACGTGCACGCACACACAGTGCACACACGCACAAGCACACATACACGCATCACTGAGCACACACGCGCGCGCACACGTGCAGCCCGGGGCCTCAGGAGGCGCCCACGCACCCTCGTCCATGCCATTGAGGATCTCGTTGAGCTCGTCCTCCGTGTGCTCACAGCAGTGCTCCTTCCAGCTGTCCCCGCTCTCGCTGCGCAGCACCACCAGCTCCCGCTCCTTCCCGCGCAGGGCAGCGAAGTGCGGGATCTCCACGATGACGGGCCTGGCAGCAAGCAGAGCACGCGGTGTGGGTGGCAGCAGCCACGCCCCGCGCACCCCGACCGTCTGTTGCAAAGTGACCTGGAGGCCTCTCTCTGGGGACGGGGACAGGGGCCGGCGGCTGGCTGCCCAGTAGCACTCCACCTCAGGGCTCCCGTCCCGGGACACGCTGCTCCCCGGAGCCCCGGTGTCTCCCTGAGGGCAGGTGGCACCCGGAGCTTCTCCTCGGAGAAACGTAAAGAAACGGACATGCATGTCTGTGACGTGCACCGACCTCCTGGGACGTTCTCAGCGAGGGGTGACGTGACAATGCTGGAGGGGATGGCCTGGTGCGGTGTGAGCTGGTGAGTCTGAATGAGATGTCAGAGGAGCTGACTGCGCGGGAACGACGCAGACATGCATGCGGGGTCTGCCCAGGCTCCCCCCATCTGAGGGCGCAGTAGGCATCGCACAGGGCGGCCCTCGCCGAGCCCCCGACAGCGTGTGTGATGCCTACTGGGCTCAGCTCCGAGCATGCACGGCCCTTGCTCCCAGGGCACAGCCACTCTCAAGAGTCGTGGAGGCTCTGGGTCTCCGGTCCAGGTTGCTTTGAGACAGACTCCACGTTCCCATCACAACACCGCAACTAGCACAGAGTACGACTAGGCAGATCTCATGCTTTAAACGAAAATGAAGGTCACAGCACTTTAAGGGGAAAGGTATAAAAACATCACTCGAAACAAAAGTCACATACCACAGGGTCAGAAATGGTCCACTAGAGAGTTGGTACAGAGTGGAAATCATAGAGAGGGACATGTCACGGGCACAATGACAAAAGAGAAATCATATTGCAGGAGGAGGAGAATGGGGCCAGCAGCCATCGGTTGGTTTAAGTCGCTCCTACCCAAGGAACTTGGTTCCAGGAGGCCCCAGCTGGAGGATGCGGCTGACCAAGCTTTCTCCCTCGTTAAGTGGGGGGGGAGCCGCTGGCAGGTGGAGTTTACTGAGCACATCCAAGCAGCAGTGAGAGAGAGAAGACAGTGAGCTTCAGGGGCGGCGTCCACCCGCACCGCCCGCTCAGCCACCGGGAGGTCTGCTTTGGTTCTGTCCCTTCCACTGGCCACAGGGAGGGCGGCACCGACGCCCAGCGTGCCCGATGGAGGCACAGGGGCGGCACGTGGGGACGGCCTCTCCCTGGTGAGGTCCTGCCAGGGCAAGAGCCGTGGAAGGAAAAATACGCTGGCCAGGCTGCTGGAAATGTCATGAAAACATGGGGACAGGGTGGGGATGTGCCCCACCCAGAGCCCCAGGCGCCTGTCTCAGGTCTGCCTGAGGGATGGCGGAGGAGGCTTCTAGAACCGGAATACGGACACACCCCCTCCGGCGTGTACGCGGTTTGGAGCAACCTGTGAACAGCTCCTCCAAGTTCTGAGGCTTTAGGCCGATTCCTAGTTCTAGTGTGAGCAGCTCTCCCAGCGTGACGCCGGCACAACAGAAGCTCCCGGCAACGGGCTGTGGGCCCCACATTCAAGCACAAACACTTGCTATGAGGCGGCTTAGACACCACTGCTTTGTTTCAAAACATTTTGAAACTTGTCCCCCTCCACCACCTCATCCTTTGGTCGGTTTTCAGCAGAAGCCACGCATTTCTCGGCTTGTTGAAATACCACTCAATACGGCAGCCGTTGCTCAAGCACACAAAAGGAAGAAGAAATGCTAATTTCTGCTCAAAACTGCTAAAATGAGGCGGGCGGCAGTGAGCCCGGACTTTGCCTTCTTAAGGAAAACTGTGACCAGACAGCGGCCAGCGTGAGTGTGAGCCTCATGGTGGCATTTGGGAGCAGAGAAGGCAAACCACACCCCGACTCCCGGCCACACTTATCCCCAATGCAGACGGTTCTCAGGACGCGGGGCCTCGAGTCCATGTTTGGAAGCGAGAAGGGTTTTCCTTAGGACTCTGCCACTTCATGTCAGAGGGAAAACAGTGCCTACCATTGGCTGGAACGTGCTTCCCACTGGGAGCCTAGCAGCTGTGATTACATCCAGAGAGAGAGAGTCACCTGCCTGCCGAGCTCACGGATGCTCACAAAGGAAGAGGCGTGGGGAGGGGTGCAGCATCAGTGCTACTTAAATGTCACAGGAGCCCGGCCAGTGTGGCTCAGTGGTTGAGGGTCGACCTATGAACCAGGAGGTCACAGCTCGATTCCCGGTCAAGGCACTTGTCCGGGTTGTGGACTCCATCCCCAGTGGGGGGCGTGCAGGAGGCAGCCGATCCATGATTCTCTCTCATCATGGATGTTTCCCTCTCTCGCTCCCTCTCCCTTCCTCTCTGAAGTCAATAAAAATAGATTTAAAAAAACGTCACAGGGGTCAACCTTCGTTCAAAGCACTGGACGTACCTTTGTGCATCCATCCCAGGGGCGCCGGGCGAGATGCCAGCACACGGGTGACTAAGTGGGAGGCTTAGCAGAGACCCTTACCCCAGGAACTGCGCGCCAGAGGGTCCGACTTCGATCAGGCGGCTGGCCAGGCCTTCTCCCTCCACCATCGGGGGCATGGTCGCCAGGCGGTGGCGCTTCACCAGGCGGCAGGTGACCCGCGTGGGGGCCGTGCACTTCCTCGGCGGGATGATGATGCGGAGCCCGTGGTGTCTGCAGCCGCGCATGGCGCCCCCGCGGGCGTCCACCATGAAGCTAACCAGGAAGCTGCAAGGGGGGACAGAGGTCAGACACGTGGGCGAGGTCGGAGGCAGGGGCCCAAGTCCCGGCCAGGCGACTTCTGTCCGTCACACCTGGTTCTCAGACATCGGGTATTCATACGCATGGTGGGGACAAACTGGTCCTTAAACGTTATCTCGCTTTATACCAATGCCTTGATGGCTGTTGTGTTGCTTTAATTTTTTTGTTTTTACCTGTAACCTAAGACAATTTCTGCTACCTTTTGTTGACAGTATGTGGACTGTAAATTTAAAATCTATCCAACTGACAGAGTGGCATGGAATTATGTGACAACTCTGAGGGTCCCCCTGTCACAGAACTTCCGCCTGCACGTCCTAAAAACCCATGGAAGTCAGGGGGGGATGGAGCAGTTAATCCCACTGGACTTTTCAAAGTTACATCGTGCCCAGCTCATTTCAATATAAACTATGATTTAAGAAAAGAGGCCCCCCACTGGGGCACAGGCTCCATGTGGACTGGCAGGCCCTGCGGAGGGTGTACGGGCATCGTGAATGTCCCCAAATTACAAGAGAGTGTGGAAAACCACAGCTAGTAATTTAGCAACGTGGAGGCATCCCTTCCTTTTGCTCCGTTCCTGCCAGGCTCGAGGTTCATGGACAGCCTGATCCACGGGGCCGGCACGCGTCTGTGGCGAGGCAAGGGCTGGCCTAACCGGAAGGGCTTCCTTCGGGAGGGGCGGGTGCATGCAGTGGGGACTCGCTTGGTCAAGAGGCAGAAATTAGGCGACCTGACCGGCATTTCCATTGCACCTGCGAGGCTCTGATACCAAAACAGGAAGAGGAAAGCAGCCTCCAGGTGAGTCAGGCTCAGCCAGCACACCATGCCGGACCCCCACCCTGGCACCGAGTCCATGACTGCAGCCCAAACCCTGGAACACAGTCCATCGAAGAAATGACGGGCAGAAGCACCATGCGTCTGCTGTTAGACGAGTGGAGAAAGAGCTTAGCGTCCCTCAGAGCAGACCGGAGCACGTCACGCACGTGGCTAAGCAGGAGTCCCGCTGCTCTCAGCACAGAAGGGGCGGGCAGCCCAGGGCCCGTCAGCAGGTGTGCGGGGACAGCGAGGCCACAGCCGTGCCCCTTGCGTGGCCAGCCAGCCGGGGAGAACAATCCACAGTGCAGGACCGAATGTGGATGTTTCTGGTCTTGATCAAAATGCAGTGAGAAGAGCTTAGCTGCTTTTCTTACCACTAGGTATAAATTTAAGTATAAATTCTCAAAAAATATTTTTAAAAATGTACTGTTGCGCAAAAGAATGGAAGAGCTAGTTAACACGGATGAATCTAAAGGTTCCCTTTCCGTTCTGTCCTTTTTATTGGGCTACGTTTACGCTGGCGTTTACGAACCCCGAGAAAGGCTACTCAGGTGCCAACCAGCGCTGCTGCCACTCACTGCACTGTTTCTGACGCCCCTGGTTTGCTCATCTCTCGCTTACTGTCACCCTGCAGGAGACGGGGCGCAGGCCCCGAGGAACCCTGCGGCCCATCTGCCTGCCCCCGTCGGAGGCCCTGGGCCCCTGCTGTGTCTGGACCTGTCCATCGGGGATGGCTTGCTGCCTCCACACCTGTGCACCTCGGACCCTGCGGCGCGCCCCCTACTGGGGACTCTACCCAAGGGATGAAGGGCTGCATTCCTGGCTGGAACCGGGTCTCAGGACATCGGATTCTGCCTCTGTGTCATCGGCTGCTCCTGTGAAACCCTCTTGTTCTCGTTTGCTCGTTTCCAGCTCCATGTTCCCCTCCTGCCACGTGTCACCCTCCCACCGAGGGCCGGCCACCCTGCTGGCAACTGAGGACACAGACAGCGGAGCTGTGGCGACTGCCCCCGATGTCCCCGGAGGGTTTCGCTGACTTCCCTGGTGATGGGGAAGGGGCCACCAAGGGCCGTGGTGGCAGCAGCCCAGGTCCCCAGTCTCAGCACAGTGTGTGGAGCTGACAGGTAACGGCTGAACCAGCGAACGAGTGGGGCAGTGCAAAGAGCAAGTTGTGCGATGGCCGCAGTTGTGTCTAACCACCAGAGAAGATGGCAAAGGCAGTTGCTTAACTCTCTGGTCTCTGGACAACCATCCAGTCACAACTCCTTCAAGCGACCACACAGGCGTTTCAGCTTGATGGAGAGCAAAAACCCGTCTCGAGTAACGTGATGACAGGATGAACAGCTAATAAGAAAGCTGAGTGTAGACTTGTAAGTGCAAAGCCGCCTTCCAATGAGAGGGAATAAGCGAGACAGTTCAAATTCTACTAGGTGATGATGGAAAGTTTTAGATAAAAGTCAGCATGCTGATCACTTAGCCCCCACAGTTCATGACCGAACATCAGGTAAGCATTTTCCTTAAAAATGTCACATTATAAAAGGTGCCCCTACTTGGACCGGGAGTAGAATGAGTGGATGTTGTGTGTAGAACAATTTCAACCACAGAGCAGATTGGAAGAGACTGCTTTTTGTGCCGCAGGAAGAGGGAAGGAGTGGGTACGGCCGTGCGGTGATGGGTACTAGACTTGGTAAAGCAAGTGCCCTTTCCTCCCATCGTCAGGAGGTGACCACTGGGAGACAGCGCGTGAAGGACTGAGGCGCGGCCGCAGGGAGAGCACAGCTGAGCGCGTGCAGGGCTGGTATGCGAGAGCCGTGTCTGTGAACCAGGGGCTCGCGGCTGCCGACAGGGGTGCGGACTGAGTCACGTGGGCAGAGACACGGAGGCCTGAACGCTGGTGCCGCCACCCCCCTTCCCCTATGCCCGCACGATGTTATATATCCCGAGTGTCTTTAAATTTACAGTACAAGACAACACCTAAGAAACAAATGGAGGAACTGACGTGTTCTGAATGCCCACAGTGAACCCGAACTCGGCTGAAGCAGTTTCATATGACAATGAAGTTCCTACTAGTTTATGGACGCCCCTGTTTAAATAAAATGTAAAACACTGTCCCAGAGCAGGCACCCTGCCTCTGTGTCGCTCTGGGAGCCACTGATCTGCCCGGCCGGGACGTACTGCTGGGACCCCAGGCTAGTCACTTCCTGTCTTTAGGTTTCAGTTTCCTCGCCCATAAAATGACTTTCACCAAACACGCCACGGGGCCTCTGTGTTCCGTGTGTGCCGGTTACTGTAGCCAGGCAGGACCCCCTGAGAGGCCCTCTTTCAGATGCTCCGGAAGAATCCCTACTTGGAGGATAAACGGCTATCGCTCTGGGAAGTGGGCACCATGCTTGCTCCGTGTTAACCCAGTAAACGAGCAGTTTTGCAGAAAATGTGCACACGCTGCACTGAGCACTGACTTTAAAGCTCTACAGACAAAAAAAATCACGTGACATACTCGGCTTACACCGCGTATCTTTAGGTGGAATTCAGCAATCATGCAAATTAGAAACTCTTATTGAGAGGTTTTCTAAATTGTGAGATAAGTGTTATCACAATTTAAAAGGGAGGAAAGCAAAAGCAACCCACCATGATTATGCAGATGACTTGCCTACAAAGAGGCGATTTGATTAGCTAAACAGATACATGCTTCAGAGACGGAAAACAGGGCTGCCTGCTGAGGAGCACGCCTCCACCCCACAGTCACCAAGGCTTTGTTCCCTTTCAGTGCACCCGGGACCGCGAGGGCGGGTGGGGAGGAAGGTGCAGCATTCGGTTAGTTATGGGGTGAAAACAGGAAGAAAACGTCCAGGGTGCTTCAGTGAGCCCGCACACCCCGCAGGAGGCCCGTCAATTCCACCTATTCTGGCGCGAACACGAGGCGTGGTGACGTGGCGAGCTCTCCCCTGCTCTCCCTCCAAGCCCTCCTGCGCCCCGACTCCCAGACTGAACGTGATGGGAAGTGCCTCTGAAGAAAGTGGCTCAGCTTTACCAGAATCACCAGTCATAGATCACTCGCAACGTTCATGTGTAGAACATCCCATTTAGGTTTCAGAGGAACTAACGGATGGCTATGCTTTCCAAAGTGGGGTCTCTGCGGCCGTCTTATCGCCGGCCGTCTTATCGGCGCCCGGTCTGCAGGCGACGATGACTGTAACAAAAACGCCCGGCTCGGCGGTCTGGTCAGAACCTTCAGGAATGAACTGCTGGGCTCAGCACGGCTCCACGCTCGCAGAAGCTGCACGTAAAGCAGCACCCCAGGGAGACGGACCACTAACCAACCCAGCCTGCGGTTCACCTGAGAACAGGTTTTAAGCACTTTAAAACCCTAACCTTCACTGTGACTTTAAAACAGGCCGACTGCTTCGTGTCATTGCTGGGAATCACTTTTCAGCTTCATGTGGCCCTTTCCTCACAAAGGAGCTAAGCCTTTCCCAGGAGGCCTGCGTGAGTCCTGGCACCATCCCAGCCGCTGCCCAATGAAGTCACCGATGCCCACGTTCCCTCCACTGCAGAGCAAGGGGCACTCGGCCAGGGCGCGGCCTGGAGACACGGCCGTCCCTGCGTCCCTGGGAGGTGTGCGCACTGAAGCACCCTGGGGTGCGGGGGGGAGGAGGGGACGGGCAGGAGGGGCGATGCAGTCACCTGCTGTTGTCACGGTCGAGACATGGAGAGGTGCGGCTGCAACAGAACAGACACTTTAGCACAGAGAAGGAGTGGGCGAACATCAAGAAGGAATCAGAGGCGACTTCTGCCTGAAATGCACTGTCATACCCCACCCCCCTCCATCCGGAGGAGATGGAAACAGCCATGAGGCATCCCTCTGCCCACATGCCGAGGGGTCCGGGAGGGCTCCGCGGCTACCCATCAGGGCCTGGGGCTCGGGGAACCCTGGGCGTCCCTGCGGCCCCGCTCCCTGCTTAGCACTGGCCATGGGGCCCTGCGCGCAGCCAAGTGTCCAGGAGACCACACACCATCAAAGGCATTCAAAGGAGAGGGACAGAGTCTGGGATTGGTGGCCATGGTCAACGCTTCCTACGTCATGGCAATGCCCTTTTGGCCACTGCGGAAGACATGTGAACACAAAAGGCACAATTTAAAGACTGGCTTCCATGACAAGCCATGACATAAACTAGGAGGCAGAGCAGGTACGTGAATTACCTACTGGCAGGAATGGAAGCTATGCAAGTCTTAGAGCTTGTTCACGCTGCCGGCTTGCTGGGGGGGCGGGGTGGGCTGCTCAGGGTGCCCCCTGCTCGGGGCTTACCCTGCTCGCTGCTGTGGCCGCGGCTGCCCCACTCCCCAGACATTCTCTGCGCCTCTGGCTCACTCATGTCTGACGTACAAAAGGATACGTTTATGGGACCAGAAAGCCAACCTTACAAAATAGTTGTTTAACAACTTAAAAATCGTTTTCTTCATCCAAAAGCATTGGCCTTCATGTACCTTAAGAAAGCTGGGGTGTTTGGAACATGTGAACCACCAAGTTAACTGCTCTGCACACTTCACCATTAATGCTGTCCAAGGAGCAGCAGTCTCGGCTCCTGGGATGTATCCACCACTCCCCTGAGCTAATGTCCTCACAGGCTTTTTAATGGACTTTATTTCTGGGCATAGTTTTAGGTTCACGGCAAATGGTCTTCAACATGTTTTTCTGAAAAAGACCAATTTTTTAAAGGACTTCTGGTTGCTACATCTTGCAGGATAACATGATGAATTGACACTTAACTGTTGGCATGTGGCTACCACTGAAATATAAAAATAAAGGCCTTCGGATTCATATTAAAATGGATCACAAAGCTGGCCGTTACCAAGCATGGAGCCTCACTCATTGAGCGCTTGGGAAATGGAGAACCGTGAATTCAGGCTCGTGCCCAAATCCTGCCATGTAACACCCTGGGATGCTAGCAACACCTGCTGGCCCGATCCTGAGTGAGTAACAAACTCTCTCAGGAGCAACAACAGAAATCTTGCTGCAGCCCTTCCTTTGCCGGTGAATGGCTGTGATGGGTGGTCAGATGGTTTTAGCCGCCGACACCTCCTCTTGGGTGGCTGTGGACACGAGCCACTCGAGACAGGCAGAGGCGGAAGGAGATGCCAACATGGCCTACGGGTGCAGCTGTGTCTTCTGTGAACCTAGAGCCCTTGTGGGCTCCATAGGAACCACATACACCGTGAGCTGCAGTGCACAGAAAAGCTCCCTTAATTACTTCCTCTGTCAAAAACATTTCTTTTCTAACTTTTTGGGCAGATTTGAAGTGGCTTAACAATTCACCCAAGAATCTCAGTTCCTTGAAAAATACATGTAAAAACAACAACTCAGGAGCCCGGTGTGGAAAGAGTAAAACTGTAACAATCACCCTGACCAGTTTGGCTCAGTGGCTAGAGCATTGGCCCTCACACTGAAGGGTCCTGGGTTCAGTTCTGGTCAAGGGCACGCACCTGGTTTGCAGGCTCGATCCCTGGCCCTGGCTGGAGTGTGTGCAGGAGGCAGCTAATCAATGTGTCTCTCTCATATCCATGTTTCTCTGTCTCTCCCCCTCCTTTCCACTCTCTAAAAAATCAATGGATATCAATGAAACAATATCCTTGGATGAGGATTAACAGCGACAAAAAAACACACAAAACACCCCACCAAAAAAAAACCCAAAACAAAAGTGTAAGAAACCAACATTACATGATATGAAATCATGAACGCTATTCGTGTACATTAACATGGTGACAGCGTTTAAACACCGGGAGCGGCAGCACCGAGCGATCAGTGGGAACCCCATGGGTCCAAGTCCTGTGCTGTGTGTTTGTTCAAATGCCACAGCACAGGCCTTACTAGATGCCTGGTCGCCTGGCAACAGTAACAGTGAGGCCTACATCACACCAGGACCAGGACTGCACAGGGAGGTTCTTTAGATGATTTGGAATACATTTTGCTTAACTTAGTGCTTCTCAACCTTCTGGCCCTTTAAATACAGTTCCTCATGTTGTGACCCAACCATAAAATTATTTTCGTTGCTATGTCATAACTGTCATGCTGCTACTGTGATGAATCATCATGTAAATATCTGATATGCAGGACGGTCTTAGGTGACCCCTGTGAAAGGGTCGTTTGACCGCCAGAGGGGTCGCGACCACAGGTTGAGAACCGCTGGAACTGGTCTGGGATTTGTGAGTGATCTGGATGGTGTATGGGGAGTGTGTAAATACTGACATGAACCTATTGAGTCCTTTTCTTTTTAGACAAAATGCTAATTGTACAAGAACTACGTGCCCCTAAAGTCCTCTGTGGGATCCGTAACATAACGTGCATCTTCCGGGTAACGAAAGGAAACGCTGACCGTCTGCCTGACGTGCCCACGTCACATGCAGAGGGTGAGGCAGGGCTCGGGGTCTGGTGGGGGTGCCCCGAAGGGAGCATCACGTTTTTCCTTCCACAGGCTGTCTGCCAACGTCCCATCACACACGGGTGTGCTTCGTCAAGGCCGCCCATCTCACTGAGCCTGCTCCTGAGTGTCTGGCACACGCGTGGCCCTTTGCAGAATTCAGCGATGTGTCAGGAGTTTGTACAGGTTAATTATCTAGGTCTCCATCATAATCGGAGCTTTGTTAGGCCAAGATGGTCCTTTCTCACAGTTTGTGTAAAACACACATATCTGGATACTGGCACTTGTGGAAATCACTCCAGAGACGCCGCTGCGACTGGCGGGGCCTGGCACGTTAAGGCTCCGGGTGATTCTAATGCCGGCCAGAGTTTAGAATACATGGTCGGCGATCACCTTTCAAGTTCACAGAAGAACTAGTTTATTAGAGACCAAGATTAAAGACCCTTATCTCACTAAGTGATTAATCTTTAACCACTGAGGCTCTAGGTTTTGACTCTTGTAAATTCGGCCATTAATAAATTACTTTGTGCCTGGCCGGTGTGCTCAGTGGTTCAGTGACGACCTATGAACCAGGAGGTCATGGTTCGATTCCTGGTCAGGGCACATGCCTGGGTTTCAGGCTTGATCCCCAGTAGGAGGCGTGCAGGAGGCAGTTGGTCAGTGATTCTCTCATCATTGATGTTTCTCTCTCTCTCCCCCTCTCTCTTCCTCTCTGAAATCAATAAAAATGTATTTTAAAAAGGTAGTACATTACATTGTGCTTAAAACAGCCCTTCGCCCCTGGGCTGGGGATGGCCTGGGCTGCGCTGGGGCTGGGTCTAAAGTTCCACCTTCACGTTCCAGGGCCAACTCCTTTCTCCTCCTCATTGTTCAGAAAGTTGGTAGCAGAACACAACGTTATGCTTTTTGAATAATCAATAGGTCAGATGTTAACGATCTCATTTTACACTTAGAATATGTAAGTAAGTTGGGATGAGGTTTAATTTGGTTTTTATTCCCTTGCATAATTCTTGCATTAGGAACCTGCTTATGTTTTTTTTTTTTTTAACAAGGAAAAGAGTACTTTGATTATTTTCTATGTCTATGGACCTAGTTGTATAGTCTATGAATCTTTAGTAGAAGCTTAGACTATGAGGTGCAAACTTTGTAACTGCAATGCCTCTGAATGCCTTCCTGGAAAGAGACTATTTTAGAATAATGGCAACAAGAAAGGTCCACAATTCAAATCACACTGGGCATTACGGATAAGGAGTTTGGAACCATTTAAGTCAAAATGTTTGATTTAGTTAGATAACATATGGGTAGGGCTTTAAAAGGTGGTTAAGTGAGCAAATATTGTAAGAGTTGACATATAATTATGAAATTACTAGATGAATAAAAGTAATAGAATGAAAGGGAAAATGCAACTTCGAGGTGCTACCACTTACAACTCCTTCCAGAACTTACGGTCCACGTAACTGAGTTCTATGCCTTCAGGACATCTTTCAGTAGGTTACCATTATTAACTCAAAGCCCTACGTTTTTCGAGAGCTGATGTGGAAGGTGGCATTCCTCAGTGGCTGCTGGCTCGGGCAGGTGACTGAGCTGACAGGTGCCCCCCAGGCCCTACTGCCTACTGCACAGGACTCCTCCTTCCGCCTGTGTGACTCCAGCCTCCGGACTCCGGGAACACCGCTCAGTGCCTTCACTCGTGGGGAGAGGCATTTGTGACCTGGTGAGCTCACCTCGTAAATAAAAGCGTCCAGAACGCAAACACTCCTGCCCTTCCTTTCGAGATGTCTGAAAGCCCCGGCAGCTGCTGGTTAGTGAGCGAGCTGTTTGACGCAATGCTACCCGTTACTTTAAAACGTCCGCTTTTCTATGTGGAGTTCAACCCTTTCTGCTGGTTTGTCCACGCAGATGGGGCCCCTGGTGGACAAAGCTGTGTTATTTACGAGTTTAAACGGAGGTCACGTCCCTTGTAAGCTGGCTGCCAGCTACGCCACCGCACAAAGCTGCTGCTGTCCACTCGTCCCTTCCCTGATCGGGACACAGGACACCACGACTCACCCGGAGTGGATGGGGCTGGAAGAAAGGGCCACATTGTCCAGGTGCTCGGGGCCCCAGCTGAGGCGGTAGGCGTTCCTCTCCGCCTCCTTGGCGAGCGCTGACACCTGGGCACAAAGGACACGGCTCAGGGGCACGGCTCTCTCCCTTCCCTCCGACAAGGTACCCGCCTCGGAAAGGGGCACCTCAGACAGTGCACTGCCTGGAAAGCCCCTTTAAAACGTGAGGCCGAGGTGCCCAGGTGTTTGTAACACATTCCCGCTGAGGGTGTTATTGATGTTGGATCGCTGTCGCTGTCTTTGAAGAGGGTGGGTGTCCGTGTACCCAGCCGGCCTGAACTCGAACATCCTACCCAATGCCAGTATTTCCTAATAAACCACATCTTTTCTCTAGATAACCACCTAACACGGAGACGCAGGTGGCAGCGTCGTTCATCTCAGGCCTCGGACGCACCTCCCCGCCCCACCCTCTAATGGAGACCTCCTGGAGGACTCAGTCGTCATACTCAATCTCCCCAGAGGAGCTCAATAGCTGGAGAAACAAGCAGTACATTGTTTTAGAAAAACTCCGCTATTGAGAAATCTAGGGAACATTTTCCGTGTTTTAGGAAAAAATCCTCAAATCTCTTACCCTAGCCCATGACTAGCTGAGCTCATTTTTTTTAGACGATAAGGCTTTCTTTGGCTCCTTCCTGCAGCGGTGAGGCTCCCTCCCTGCTGCGGGAACAGGTGCACCCGCATCACGTACCTGGTGGCTGGGGATCACAACGGTGTCGTCGATCATGGCGCTGTCCCTCAGGTAGGAGGCATGGCTCAGGGTGTGCGACCTGTCGGAACTGAAGGACCGGAGGCTGGCAGGTGAGCAGAGGCCGTGATCACGCGCCCACGGTGGGGCAGGGCAGGGAGGAGGGCATGGCGAGCCGAGCAGGAGAGCGAAGAGAGCGTGCAGTTAGCTGCCGGGACCTTCCTGGGAACAGGCCGCGGTGCAGGGAGGACACGGGCTCTGTGCCACCCATTCCCGTCACCCCGAGGGAACACACCCTCTGCCCGGCGCTGCTACCCAATGGCAGGGGCCCCAGGGGACCAGGAGTTAGAATCTGACACTCCTAATCGGACTCCTGCTCTCCCCAGAAAGGTTTGAGGCCAGCAACTGGCGCTCACTAGCCGCCGGCACACAAATTCACGCAGGAAATAACTGCAGGCTGATCTCTAACATCTGAGCCAAATGTTCATCGCCCTGCAACTGGGAAGTATCAGGGGACAGCCAGCCCGAGGCGAGAACAGGGTGACAGGCAGGTTTCCATGTGCCCTCACCCGGCCTGCGCGGCGGTGACCGAGGGCCGGGAACCCCGGGAGGCAGGGACGGGGACAGCCGCATGCAGACTTCCTGAGGAAACAGCCCCTGGCTGTGTCCCGCGTGGCCACTCAGAGGCCAGCACTGCCCCTCGCATGTCCTGTGCTGCGCACAACGTCGCGGGCGGGCAGGTCGCTGTGCGATGACACAGGCACACAGAAAGCGTTTCTAAGCACCGACCAGACCCAGACACGTCAGCCAGCACAAAGCAACTGCCGGGGGGAGACCGGGGAGGCTGGTTCACACGGGCTCAGGCTGGACAGCGAAGGCTTTTGTGAGATCTGACCGTCAGCGCTCTGAGCCACATGCTCTGATGTGAGGAGTGAACGCTGAAGTTCTCATAGATGAAGTGACATTCCTTCCCAGCCCACCTGCATCCTCAACTGACCAATGGGTGGGCAGCTTCAGTGAGCGGACTTTCATGCGTGTCAGCCCAGGTCTAAAGATCTACATTCAAAGTATCAGCCCACAGCCCACAGGGGGCTGAGCCATGGTCCCGCGGTGTCTACAGAGGCCAAGGCTGCACCCTACACCGGCAGGTGTGGCCGTGAGGCGTGTGGAATTGTGAACTAAATGTCGAGCTGGCCCACTGATCAGCAACTGTTCTCATTTTGCAACTACACCTAATTTTGTAAGCCACACACTGCCTTCAGAGGTGTCAGCTGAGTGAGCCCGTTGTCTCTGAGAAACTGCTGCTGGGCGGTAGTGTGTGTGGGGGGCTGGGGGGGGGCTTCTCCCCACCCCGCTCCAGGCTTTACGCCCGAGCATTACAGGAGCGACCTGACACGAGTCCGAGGATGGGACCGCCTGACCGAGCGTTTACACCTACACGGACTGCGTGTTTCTGCTAAGATGGGATCTAGGCCGAGTGTGAGAGGTCCCTCTCCTATGTTTCCCAGGCTCCTGGTGAAGACAGAGGGTCTAGACAGCCCAGGGCACCACGTCGCCACTGGGGGCTCAGTCCTGGGGGCAGGGCAGCCCCACTTATAGGTGTGCCTTGGGTTTCAACAGTGCACATTCCATAATGGGGTGCAGGGCACTGTGAGTGACCTTAGCCTGGCCTTGAATTGGGGATGGGCTTAAATTACTGGGGGGGGGGGGGTCTTTCATTTCAGCCAATCCCGTCTCCCTTAAGAAATGGAATAACTGTTTTTCTCCTGCTTTAAACTACAGACACTGAAGCTTCGCATTTGACTCTCCTTGCTCTGGTGAGCAGTGGGCCAAGGGAGAGACCACACAGCAGGCGCCTCCTGAAGGGCCAGGGCCGTCCCTGGGCTCCGCCTGCCCCTGGGCTCCACAGGGCTGACCTGTTCATCCATCTCTCTCCACTGCTCTGGACTGCAAAGACCCAGACCGAGACTTCCACGGTTACAGGCACTAGATTTACGTAGGCGGGCGGGGCCCCAGGTTCAGGGCGGAGGCCTGCTCCTCACAGCATGCGGACACGCCCACCAGGTAGGACTGGCCCTGACATGCAGCCCTGGGGCAGGGGCAACAGGTCAGCAGGGATAGGAGCAGACCCCACGGTAAACACGGCCTCGACCAGACCTAGTGACTAGGCTGCTGCCATGGTCCAACGTAGACAGAGGCAGCTGGGACTGGATTCCACTCCCAGAGACACAGCACCCCTGGCCGTCTGTCCACTTTAGGGGTGAGGGATTAAGGGGCTCATTTGGCCCTTAAGATGTGAAGCCACATTCTGCCATCACCGTGGCCACCTGCCTAACCCAGGGTCAATCTCCCTGCTGGTATGCACCCCAAGGAGCAGAGGGGAAGTGGTGTTATTTTTTTGTCTTTCTTGAAGCCCCAAGAGGAAAGGAATAGAGAGAGAGAAGAAAGGAAAGGAAAGGAGACGAGGTAATACAACCACAAAGAGAGATTAGGGCAGAGAGAGAGGGAGAGAGAGAGGTGGGGGAGGGAGATTAGGATATGTAAACGGGGGGGAGGGGGGACAGCTGGAAGGAGAATGAATCCACTGGAACCATCTGTCTGCATGTCTCTGCCTGTGGGATTTTATTCTGGCTCACTCTGCATCCTACAGTGCTAGTTATTATTGAGGCAATGCTTATGGTTTCGAATTGCTTTTTTGTTCTATTTAGTTACAGACATATTGAAGTGAAATAATGTTAAGTATTCCAATAGCAGAGAATTATTCTCTCTGAAGGAAAAAATGACCAGCACAGGAGTCTAGAATAATTCACATCTTTGGCCCAGAAACTCTTCATTTGATCTGAAACATTACAAACAAGTGAGAAACAATAGAGTGGCCATGTTTTTTGTATTAAGTCAGAGGCCGCAGCCTTTGGTGGATGAGTTTCCCAGACCATGGCATGGAGCCACAGGAGTGGCCATTCCCACCTGCGGGTCGGCTAAGATGTGCTGAAGGCTTGTTATGACCTAAACGCAGACTTCCCGCTGGCACGCTGCTTTCCAGACACACATTAGCTTGTATCCAAGTCCCTTCAGTCCTGAGAAGGCCAGCGGTGACAAATACTTCTCAGACATTCAGTCACGGTGTCCTCAAGCCCCCTGAAGAAGCAGACACTGACAAGTGCATGTGTTCGCTCTCGCCCAGGGAGCAGCTTCTGTGGCTCGCTGCCGGGTAGTGCTTTACACTGAATCTGGGTAGCATTTCAGCGTGAAGCACTAATAAAATAAAACGGGAGCAAAACCCAGTCGACTGTGTTCTCATCGCCGCACATCAAAATTGTGGATCTATTTTTAGTCTTCTGTGCGCCCACAGACACTTCAGGCATCACCACGATCTTTCTAGCATCTCAACTGCACAGGGGCTAATTGGGTTCCTTGCTGGAGCCACACTAACGCGCCCCAACCACAGGGGGCGCTGTGACAGGTGAATTCATGCCGGGCTTGTTCTAGTTTTCATTCTATTAACACATGTACCTTCCAACCCAAGTAACTACTCAATTTAATACATAAAAACCCTAATTTGAGAATACACCCACGATTTCAGAACGGAAGTGCCCCTGTGAACACAGCACGCACACGCACATCGAGCGGGGAGCAGGGAAATGGATGGGCCGGGAGGGTTATGCTGCCAGCCATGGGCACCTACCTGGGCACAGCACTATTGGAGGCACCAAACAGAGAAACAACGAGAAGGTAAATGGTTACCGACAAAGGTAACATATTGAATTGTCTAAGCAAAACAAACACACAGACAACCGTGAACAGAGCCACTGCCTGCAGTTCCATCCGAGACGGCAGGTGGCGGCCTCCTGCTCTGGAAAGCAACTGGGGCTGAGACCCCACCGCCCGCCGCCCACCCGTCCTGACCTGCTGACCCGCGTCAGTCTGAGCAGGATGGGCCAGCCTCGGAGCCTGGCTTGAAGGAAAGCATCGCTCTATTCCTCCCAACCTGAGTCCGTCCAGAGGACAAGGGATCCACTCGAGCACTTGTTTCTAATAAAAAAGACAGCACGCCTATCCATGGACGATGGGGAATGTGCCACAGCCGTCAACAGCTCACTTATTAAAACTGACGTCTTTAAGGATTCTCAGAGCGTGATGTCCGCATCCATCCGCGTGTCAGAGTTCACACGGAGCACGCCCGTCACCAGTCCCCGAGGGCCTCCCTCCAGCAGCCTGACCCCAGGACTCTGTCTCATCTTCCTCTGCTCACTCAGCCTGAAGCCCTCCACCAGGGCTGGCCGGGCTCAAATGCCCGACTGTGATCACTGAGCTCAGAGTTCGAGTCTTCACACCAGCTCTGGCACCGCCCCGGTAGGGTGGGTCTCCTGTCCCACCTCAGAGGGACCCTGCCCGGCATGCAGACGTCACTGCCTCCTTCACTGCGCTCAGCACCCACTGAGGAACACCATTCCCCCCAACCAGGAGCCCTGCCCTGGGATCTGCCAAGACCTCGAAGCCCTCCCCACCCTCCCTCTCCGCCACCAGGGCCCCCTGGCACCCCCAGCCTGGCCTCTCCCACCCGCTGGGCTAGGAATTCAGCCATTAGTCATATCTTAGTCATGTCTCTACCTGCAGCGCCCACGCAAGGCCGACCCAGGGGGACGCAGGTCACGGGCACCCTGAGCTGTTTTAGAAAGTGGGGGGGGGGGGGGGTGTGCAGCACTGGCGCGCATGGAAAAAAACCCAGAAAACTCTGTGTCTATCCGTTCTGGGGCCTGGATTTCCTGGACTCAACATGCTGGACACAGCGCAGAAACGCCAAGATGACAGGTGCCAACTGAGATGACTGAGGAGCAGAGACACTGCGTGCACTTCAGGCCGACCACACGCACACCCGCAGCACAGCCCTGCCTCTGATGGGAGCCGTGTTCGTCCTCAGAACTTAACAGCCGCCGAGTGCGGGGCAGTAGCAGCCAAAAGCAGCGCTGCTCTGGTACTGCAGACGCCCATCACCGCCCAGATCGGCCCATCAACCGGCTCCCGCAGGTCCGAGCGCGGCGCCAGGCCCTGGCGGGGTTGTCCTGCCTCCTCTCTCATCGCGTCTCTCTGACCCTCCCTCCAGACAAGCTTCTGCTCACAGGAACGACAGCATCCACCGACACCGGGGCTCAGAGGCCCACAGGCCCACAGGCAGAAACGTCCTTTTTACTGGGCCAGAGGGAGGTGGCCGGTGCCTGAAAACCTCTACTTAAAGGGGGGCGTCTCTGCTCCTTATAGCTGCTCGCGTTACTACTTAATCTCTCCAGGCCTCAGTTTCCCTTCTTGACAAGGGAGGAAGCAGAGAACCCGCTAACGCCAAGAGGGGGTTTCCTCTGCGTGCAGCACCGAGCCTGCTTTCTTATAAACGGAGTGCCCGGCTCCCCACCGGAGGGCCCCGCAAACCCACGGTACCTGTCGGAGCGCCCGCCCTCCAGGCTGTAGCGCAGGTACGTCAGCCCGTCCAGGAACTGGCTGCTGGGCAGCGAGTCGTCCCCCAGCTCCTTCAGGTCTTCCGGCCGCAGGTACTCCCCGCCGTCCCCCGTCATCGTGTCGTCTCCTGGAAGCAGCGGGAGAATTACTTGCTGAGCGAGGGCAGCATGACGGAGCCCTGCACCGCAGAGGCACGCAGAGCCCGTGCGCGAGAGCGTGGAAATGCAGAGAAACTGCGTCCGACCCACATCCCCACTCCGCACCGAGGAGAAACCACCCCCTGGTTATAATTCTTTGTTCAGTGTTTTTCCTCATGTCCCTGTCGTGGCAGCCGATTTACAGCCGACGCCAAGTCATCAAGATGCAACAGCAACGCGCCCCTCCCCCCACACACCCCAACACGGGCACACAGGACATGCACGGACGCTGCTTGACGGGAAGGACTAAGCAGGCCCCAGGGGGCAGAGGCTGCTTTAGGATGGTGCCCACTGGGGGCTTCAGGGAGGGCAGCTGGTTTGACGATAGGGGCTTTGTAGGGGTGATGAGGTGAGCGCTGAGATGCAATCTGAGCTGAGGAACGACTGAACATGTCCTTACAGGACAGGCAGACACGGGACAGCAGGCCCCGCAAGCTGCAGGGCTCAGGGCCAGGGCTCAGGGTCCCTGCAGCCACCGAAGCGGAGAGGCCCCCGAGGGCGCTGGTCCCCAGAGCAGGGGCGGGTAAATATGAGCCACCAAGCTGGTGCTCGTCTGTCGTGACCCCTTCGCAGGTTCCAGCGAAGCTTGTCTGGTGCAGCTCTGGTGGCAGGCATGGTGGGGGTTCTGGTGAGAAGCGTGTGTGTGAGGGTCAGGGGCCCAGAACGGTGTGAGCGCAAGAGGAACATGGGGTCCTTTGAGGGTGCTGTGTGGAATAACTGGGCAAGAGGACACGCTCATGCTGGTGAGCGAGGCGGCCAAGGAAGGAAGCCGGGATCTGCGTGCAGTGACAGGTGGAGCGGCTCAGATATCCATGACAGACCGCAGCCGCACCTGCCCCGCTGTCCCCTTCCTAACGTGTAAATCGTGACTAGCAGTGCTTTTGTAGTCAAGTAAATTGGGAGAAAGATTCCAGGATCCACTCTAAGCATTAGCTTCCCTAAACACAGGTGTTGTCTGGTTTGGAAAGAAGCCTCAGTGGTTTTCAGAGAAACACGTGTGAGCTTGTTAACATGTGGGAAGACGTGGTCTGCTCTCTGATGCAGAAGGGAAGGGGCCGGGGAAGGCGGTCTGTCCCATAGAAGACGCTGTGCTCTGCGGCCCCGTCAAAGGGGCTGAAAGCATCTAAACCCAGTCCACGCTGCCTGAGGCCGGCCACGTCACTCCCGTCTAACACATTCACCACAGCAAAACGTGCCTTCACCAACGATTTAACCTACGTTCACTCCAAGCAAACTAACTCCGTTGTTGCTAGCTCAATGTCAACTTATCAAAGACTTACTGTTTCTCTAAATTTGTATTCTAAGAAGAAATACTACTTTGGGGAAAATACTCACACAGAGGTCACTAGATAATTTAACTACGTTAGTAAGTCTCAGTGACAGTCGCAAAATCATTAATAGCATAAGCAAATCATGGCTTTAACCTTACAAGTTAGTAAAATCCACACTCAAGTGCACAATCTCACCTGTATCACACAATCATCTCACCCATGTCACACCTCCTCACCGTCACCCCCCCGCCCTGTCTCACACCCCCTCCCCGTCTCACACCCCCGCCCCGTCTCACACCCCCTCACCTGTATTATACATGCTGTTTCAAAAGGAACACTTAGTGTTAGGCACCCAGATTTAAATATTAAGCACGTTGCTTCTATGCAGTTAAGAAAAATTAAAAGCAAAGAAAAGCTTTCACTCCAATAGTTTCCTCTGAAGGTACCTGAGTCACTAAGTACTTCCCCATCAACAACTCGGTCACCAGACTGCTTAAGAGCTGTTCAAGATATGAATGAAAAAAAGTGACCCCACAAAACCCAGGGTGGTGCACACATATGAATGGGGAGGCAGCCAATCAATGATCCTCTCTCCTCGTTGATGTTTCTATTTCTCTCCTTCTCCCTTTCCCTCTGAAACCAATGAAAATCTATTTAAAAAAATGACACAAAACAAACAGCCCTCCCCCCCACCCCCCGCCATATGCT